CATTAATTGCCATGGGAGAAGTTCCCCTCCAGCAGTGCTGGTCCTCCCTCCCAGCTGGGAGTAGCTGTGCTGCTGTGGAGGGTGAGGATGATCTCTGCTTGTTCCACGAGCCCTGCAGTGCTTTGCTTTGGGCTCTGCTCGTGGCTAAGTTGGGCTCCCAACAGCAAGACTCCTGTGGGCACAAGTCAAGCAGTGAGGTGTGTAAAGATGTTCATTTGGGATGTGTAACTGCCCAGGATTATTTGGAGAATTGCAGGGAGCAGTTGCTGCCATGTATGTGGGTGTTTTTAGGTTACAGATCACTGGCACTGCCTCTGTTTGCTGTACAGAGCACCTGGAAAGGCTGTGTCAAAAAAAATACAGAGGGCAAACTCTGCCCTGAGGAGCCTGTACTTATGTGAGCTGCCTCTCAGCCCAGTGATTGCTGTGAGGGAGCAGAAAGACCCATCCCAGTGTGGCCATCCCATTAGCAGGGGCTGGGCTGGGAGGATTTGTGGGGTCCCTACTGGCACACAGTGCCCACCCTGACATAGAGACACTGAAAATTGTCTCCTCCAGCTCATGTGGGTCCTTCAGGACAGCCAGGAAAGCAGCAGTGCATGGGCTGCATATGTCCCTCTGGATTAGGGCCAGCCCAGGAGCTGCTTATGCTGAGTGAGCTAATCTCCATAATCTTGTCACACAAATGCCTCCTCTCTGCTGGCAGAGCAGCAGGGATTTGGGTTATATGTGGATACCAGCAGATATAAGTGCCCTAGGAGGTGGCATGGAGAGGAGGCACATCTGAGGCTCCTGGGGGGCACTGCCAGGTTGGGTTCAGCTGGGGCTGGTGTGAAGATTTCACTCCTGTGTCCTGCTCTCACAGTGTGGGTGAGCTGCTGTCCAGGGACAGTGTGTCTCAGGGTACTACCTTTAAAAGCAAATCCCTTTGCTCCAGCCTGGTGCCTGTAAGCCCTGGGTGCTCCTTTGCCAGTTTATGGCCTGCTTTTCACTTTTCCTGTTGTACCTCCAAGGTATTGCCAAGTGTCTGCATCATCCTGCAGCATTTCCTCCTGTGGCTCAGCCACCCTTGGCTGATGAGCTGGGACAAGGCTGGGGGAGACTGTCTGTCCATCTCTGGGTCTGGTTTAGCTTATTACCTTGTGTTGGGCCTATGACAATCTTTTCAGATCATCAGTATCTCTGGCTGGGGGGTCCTTCTGACCCAAGCAGCCTGATCCAGTCCAATGCCACCTCTTGCTGCTGGAGAAGCTGAATTTGTTCAAGTTCATGTGAGTTATTTTGCACTCAGAGAAAAGCCTCTGGGCTCCCCATGTCTGTTCCAGAGCTGCCTGCTCAATCCCACGGAGCAATGAGTGATGTGGAAGCAGGAGAGAGGATCTGCCTCCCCCACCTGTCATCGAGGTGCCATGCAGGGAATCGACAGCTCCATCCCACAAAACATGACACTCCTGGCTGGAGATCCCCAGGGACTACAGTGGCAGTGTGTGGACCCAGGAGCTGTGGAGCACTGGGAACCTCTTCAACAAGATGCCTGGTGCACAAGGGACACGTGTTTATTCTGAAGATGGGAGGCTCTTTGATTCCTGATCTGTAGTGGCTTTGCTGGGGTTTTTTTTTGTTTGTTTGTTTGTTTGTTTGTTTTTAGAAAATACATAAAACAAACCTGCATTCAAGAAAAAGAGATGTGAGGGCTGGACATGAGGTGCTGCTCACCCCTTGCTCTGAGGCCACGGGGCTGCTCTGCTGCTCAGGTGTGCCTTAGGTTTTCCCTGGCGTGGGATCTGGGGTTTTGCTTGTCAGCTGGACTCCATCCCTCTCGAAGCAAATTATTTCAGAACTGATGTATTTCTGTCTTTCTGAGTAGTGGGTTTTGTGACTGTGAGTTAGGGAAGTATATTTGGCATCACCTCGTGGGTGATGAATCAGGATCCAGTTTCCGGGCGGAAAAATCACTGTGCTGAGAAAAGCAGAGTAACGGGGCAGTGCTGGGGGGTTTTGTGTGCTTTTAGTGTTCTCTTTCCTTGTGCTAAACACTCCCTGACATGGGGGGAGACACTGCCTGAGGTGGGCACATGTAAGATGCACCCAGGACACGCCAGTTTGTCCCTCATGTCTTGCTGAGCCCAGTGACCGAGGTGTGTGTCCCCTCCCCTGCCCTGTGTGCAGGGCGGCCTGGAAACGGGGAAGAAAATCCTTATCCCCATCAGCCAGACAGATATAATCCTGACCAGTGTTTCCTGACGTGTCCTGCAATTACAGGCTCTGTGTGTCAGCTCGAGTATGTGCAGCAGGAAGGGTTTGGGGAGCCGTCCTGCTCGGGTATGCGAGCAACGCCGGGGCCCTCCGGGTGCTAATCTGCCGACGGGAAGCCCAGCCCTGGAGCTGCTGCCTCTCCCCACCATGTGCCAAGGGGCATTGCTCCATCTCCCTCTGCCGCAGAAGGGTGGTGCCAGTGGTGAATATCCCTGGCAAAGGGGTGATATTGCCAGTCAGCAACGTCCTGTGCTCTGGCAGGGTTGGGAGAGAGGGTCTCCATAAAAACGCTGCTGCTCAGACTTGCACTGAGACAGGAGACTGAAGGGCGAAGTGGAGAAAATTTGTGGTTAAGTTTTTGGGAAATAAGTCCAAGTTAGAATAGCTCCTTTCATCCTGAAGGATCCCACAGTGCTTTATAAATAGATTTGCAAACCATGCACAAGGATCACTTCCAAGCACTGAGGCGCAGCCGCTTCCTGGGAGAGCCGAGCAGCTGGTGGGAGCAGAGCTGGAGCTCCCAGAGCAGTGGAAAAAACCCTCAGTGTTAGACTTCCAGAGCTACCTCCTGTCCTTATTCCAATCCTTCTGTTGCTTTACAAGTGGCCTTAATAGCTATAATGGTGATTAACAACATCTTTTCAATTTTATTACCCCTCTCCTAAAAGCACGTGGGATTATTTAAAGGTATTATCATTTTTTATGTGGGATAGCTTTTCACCAGCCTTGCGCTCCCACAAATCCACCCAGGGAGAAGAACAGGATGCACACAGCCTTAATGATCATTACCCTAATCTTCATAGTCTCTTTTTCCTGGTAACTTTGCTATAATCAAATAACAATCTGGTTTATGGAGAGCGTGTTCGCAGATCAGCTGCTTGTGTCATGGAGATGCAAAGGCTGAGCCTGCTGCCATCCCTAATGGAAATGGGAGAGGAAGGAGGGAAAAATAGGTTCCCATTCACATCCGGATGAATTGTCTCATGGCTGAGCAGTGGAGGTCGCACAGGACAGCCCCAAAATCCCACCCTGTCCCTGAGCGTGTTGTCCAAACGCTCCTGGAGCTCTGGCAGCCTTGGTGCTGTGCCCACTGCCCTGGGGAGCCTGGGCAGTGCCCAACCACCCTCTGGGGGAAGAACCTTTTCCCGAGATCCAACCTGACCCTCCTTTGACGCAGCTTCCTACCATTCCCTCGGGAACGTGTGATGAGGAAGAGCCACCAGCCACCGGGATGGTTCCCTTTTGGGGGGAAAGGACACCTCTGGGTGCCACCCTGCCCAGGGCTGGGGAGGGCTGGGGACCCCAGACCCGCCGTCCGGCCCCCGGGAGCCGCGGGGCTCGTGTCCCGCAGCCACGCGCGGTGCGGGGGCTCCGCGGTCCCGCGGGGACCGGGGGCCACCTCGTGGCGGCTCGGGGGGATGAGCTCTGCGGTGACCCGGGACCTGACACCCCCGTAATCAGGGACCCGGCACGCCTCTATCCCATCTTCAGGATAGATTGGAGTGATTTCAGAGAAATCGCCATAACCAGGTGCTTCTGCCTCGCCGAGGCTCCACGAGCTTTTACTGTTCAGGTTTGCTGTGAGAAGAACAGAACTGTAAATCAGGTATTTATGGTCATGCTGGGCCGCCTCTTGCCTTCCCCTCCCTGATTATTTCTTTAATAAATTATTTTATTTCTTAATAAATTTACACCGAAGGGCCCATTGCTTCCTGAGGACTTCAGGTGGAAGATTCTGCTGTTGCACTTAGCTGGAAAAAGGTGTAATGATGTTACTTGGACAGAAGACATCTGTCTGCATAAACTGGATTTTCTAAGAGAAGGCTTTACTTTATCAACAAGCAAGACAGGGAGCAGTGCAAGTATGAGCTCCCTACAAGCAAGGGGGAATGGTTTTAAACTGAGAGATTGAGGTTAGATGTTAGGAGGAAATCTTTCCCTGTGAGGGTGGGGAGGCCCTGGCACAGGTTGCCCAGAGCAGCTGTGGCTGTCCCATCCCTGGAAGTGTCCAAGGCCAGGTTGGACGGGGCTTGGAGCAACCTGGGCTGGTGGAAGGTGTCCCTGCCCATGGCAGGGGGTGGAATGAGATGATCTTTAAGGTGCCTTCCAATCCAAACTATTCCATGATTAATTCATAATCAACATGCTGACTACAACAGGAAACCCCTGTCCCTGAGTCAGCCCCCAAGGCTTGAAGGCAGAGGGAAGTGGGGGCTCTGGTGTCCCAGCTCTGGGGGGGGTGGCCAGGCTGTCCTTGCCTGTGATGGAAGAGCCAGCACAGCCCTTGCCTCGGGTGAGTAACCAAGGAGTAATTCCATGGGAAACCCAGGACCCGAGGCTCCCAAACTGTGCCTCCTCTGTCCTGGTGTTTATCTTTGAAATAGCTGAAGGGTCGGGTTACAAAGCAAATATGAATGAAACGAAAGGAAACACAGCAACAAAGTGGGTCAATCATTTTCCTTTGACCAGACTCCTCTGTGGAGAAAAACTTGGCTTAAAGGCTCCTTTCCCCAGACGTGCTGAGACGAGCCCAAGTGAGGGGAAGCCAATGCTGGGAAAACCCCACAGAGCAGCAGCTTTGAAGCATCTTTGATCTGTTTTTACAGGCTTACATCGGATCCTTCTCTGACCCTCAAAACTCCTCGTTAACTGGGGTGAAGGAGGCAGGATCAGATTCTGGGAGATGCTGCAAGTCCCAGAACGAATCCGTTTTCCCAGCAGGAAATTTTCTTGCTTAGCCCGCGATGTGCCGGGAGCAGGCAAAGGCCTCCACTGCTCCCTGGGTTTCACAGGGAAATTCAGGACTCGTGGTGGGAGGCACTCGACAAGAGTTTTATTTATAAAGCTGCCAGCGCCTGGTGTAGGTTTACTCACTCTCCCATCTGGTGGCTGTCACTGCCACCTCCTGACAGACGCTCTGTCTCTTGCTGCTAATGACGTGCTTTGATTAGCTGGATCCGCTGCTTCACCCACCTATTGATCGGTCATGGGTCAATAACTGGCTGTGCAAACGTGGGAGCAGCTTTATTGGGCTGATTAAAAAAAAACCGGGAGGATCTTATTGACCACAGAAGGTGCTGGGGTGGCAGGAGTGGACCAGATGCCTCCTGCTCCCGGGTGGCCTCGCTGTGTGTAGGGATATAGAGGTCACAGCTTGCTCTTCTCTGTCCTGCCCTTCACTGTCCTCTCCCTTTCAGGCTCAGGATTCTTCTTTCTTCTGGTGGCAGCTGCTTGTTGAGGACTTGGTGTGGGTTTTGTGCACTGTGGGCTTGGTGTTCCCTCTCCCGAACTCATTTTATTTTGCTATTGCTCTCCTTTATTTGAAATAGAAGAGGAGCCACTTCCATGGCTCGCTCCGTCCTTGTGGCCCCGGTGAAACTGCTGACACCAGTGCAGAGGGAGAGGGTGGTTTCTGAGCGGGACCCTCCATCAGTGCATCTCTGAGGGGCTTCCAGAGCCCCTCATGGTTTACAGCGAGATTGGTGGCTTGAGGCTGGGGCTGTTTGTCACATCCCAGCCCCGTGGACACACTCCAAGGCCTGGGAGTGTGTCCCCCTCGCTGCCCTGGTGGCATGTCAGTCCCTTGGCAGTGCCACACAGGATGGGCTTCTGTCTGTGGCTGCCCAAAAGCAGTGACTGGGCCTCGGGAGATCGCTCCAGGCTCTGCCGTGTGCTCCTGGAATGGCTCTGGGCATGTTCCTTCATCTCTTCCCCAGGGCACACTCCCTGCTTTTTGTGGGACAGCTGGGTAAGAGGGATGGATGTCAAAAAACACGTGTTCTTTACTTAGAAAACAGGGATTATCAGTGGAGAGCAGGCGGTGCTTTTTATGTCCATGAATTAAATGTCCTGATTTCCCGCTGTGCTCCAGCTGAAGGAATGTTCATTGGATTTTGCTGGATGCTGGGCAGCTCAAGAGTGGATCTCTTCTCTGTTAGCCTTGTTTTTATTGGATTCTGGAATGAACATGGAAATAGGAGTTAATTTGTTACCATCAGGATGACCTCTACTCTTTTTAGACTGGTTTCCCATCCCCTGATGCTCTGTGTGCTGGGGCAGTGGTTACATCTCTCATCTTCCTGGGATGTGGTTGTAGGTGGAGGTGCTGGGGCACCAGCAGTTGCCCTCTTGTTGGAGTGGCCCTTTGTCACCTCAGGAATGCTCTCGGGACAGCGGGAAGACAGGGACACCTTCCACTAGCCCAGGTTGCTCCAAGCCCCGTCCAACCTGGCCTTGGACACTTCCAGGGATGGGTCAGCCACAGCTTCTCTGGGCACCCTGTGCCAGGGCCTCACCACCCTCAGAGAGGAGAATTGCTTCCTAAAATCCAATCTAAACCTACTCATCTTTCCTCACCTTGAATACTGTGGCAGTTTTGGCCATAATATAAGAAAGATATTAAGCTCTTAGAGAGTGTCCAAAGAAGGGCAACAAAGATGGTGAAGGGTCTTGAGGAGCAGCTGAGGGCACTTGGTGTGTCCAGCTGGAGAAGAGGAGACTGAGGGGAGACCTCATGGCAGTTCCAGCTTCCTTGGGAGGGGCAGAGGAGGGGCAGGAACTGAGCTCTGCTCTCTGGGGACCAGGGACAGGACCCAGGGAATGGCCTGAATTTGTGTCAGGGGAGGTTTAAGTTGGATCTCAGGAAAAGGTTCTTCCCCCAGAGGGTGGTCGGGCACTGACCAGGCTCCCCAGGGCAGTGGGCACGGCACCAAGGCTGCCAGAGCCCAAGGAGCGTTTGGATGGTCTTCTCGGACACATGGTGTGACCCTTGGGGATGGGTCTGTGCAGGGCTGAGAGTTGGGCTCGATGATCCTTGTGGGTCCCTTCCAACTCGGCGTATTCTGCGATTCCTCTTGTCACTGGTGGGAGGGGTGGACCGGGAACACCGCGACCTGTTGCCATCGCACCGCGGGCTCCGGTGGACCGGGAGCACAGGCGGCGGCGGGGCCGGGGGTGTCTCCCGCCCCCTCGGGACAAGCCCCCGCCCCGGGCAGCGGCGGGGCCGGTCGGGCGGGCGCAGGCTCAGCCCCGGGGGCCGCCCCGCCCCGTCCCTCCCCCGGCGGCCGGGGCGCTGACATCAGAGCCGGCCCGGCGGGGAGGAGGAGGCGGCGGAGGAGGAGGAGGAGCCGCCGCCGCACCGGAGCCATCGCTCTTGCCGGGGCCGGGGCGCACGGGCGGGGGGCGGCGGCGGCAGCGCTGCTGCTGCTGCTGCTTCACCCCCCGCATCCCCCGGCCCGTCCCGCGCGGCCCGCGGGGCCCCGCCGCCCTCCCGCCGCCCTGCCCGTAGCCCCGCGGTGCCCGCGCCGTGCCCGCCA